ATGCCCCAATTCACTTGCATTCGCTTCGACTGCATTTTGTCGTTGACTCGTCGACTAAGCAATCCCTCACACCGAGCATGCATGTAACAACAGTGGAGAGGAAAAACCTCAAACCTCCAGCAGAACCAGGCTCACTGTGAGCTGCCATATGCCGAGGCCAACTGGGGTTCAAGAAGAGAGAAGCAGACATAGGAAAAGAAGCAGAGATAACAAAGAAAACTGTCGATCAGCTCCACGGGCGGCCCCGTCCAGGAAACACACAGCCAGGCAGATGAGCTCCAAGCCAGCTCCCATGCCAGAGGATGAAGAGAGCACATACAGTTAGTTATAGTCTACACTCACAGGACTATAGTCACAGGACTACACTGAAAAACAGGCCAAGCTCCAACATCTATAAACAAAGGTGTTAATGGCAGCAGCACAGCTGATATTTCTGTCCAGGATGGAGTCACAACCAAACAAGAACTGACCAGATTAAGTTACTATGAGAAAAAACAGAGAGAGCATAAGGTTAGAGATTTACCTAAAAAAATTCTGCAGAGTGGGAGAATAGAGATTGAATGTAGCGGAATGATGAAAAGGGGTCCCTATGTCCTCCAGCAGTCTAAGCCTATAGCAGCATAACTATAGAGATAGCTCAGGATAACCTGAGCCACTTTAACTATACATTTTATCACAAAGGAAAGTTTTAAGCCTAGCCTTAAAAGCAGACACAGTGTCTGCCTCACAGAATAAAATTGGTAGTCCTACCATCAGAACATGGCTGACACAGTTTTGTGTTTGTACTCCAAAAACACCAAGAATATCTTCAGCCGCTTGTTTCAAACTTAAGGCCCAAATTTGAGTGAAAAAGGACAGTATCTGAAGCGCCCCCCTCAGGTGGGGCAGAGCGAGGAGTCACTTACCACATATTCAAAGACAAATGTGAGCGTCTCACTGGTGTGGATGATGTCATGCAGGAGGACAATGTTTGCATGTTTTAGATGCTTCAGGAGAGATGCTGCTCACACACAAACACATAAAAGGTGTGAGAGCAGAGACAGGATATGTAGATTAAGTCAGGATGATGGGTGAATGTGATTGGTCACCTTCTCTGATGGCGGTGAACGGGATGCCCTCCTCAGTCTTCATGCGAATCACCTTCAGAGCAACCAGCTGCCCGTTTATCCTGCGCAGAAGAAGAGAAGAAGTATAATGAAACCTGACGTCTTCCTCATAGATCATTAGGAACCTCGTCATCCTCAATGGATCGTTATCATCCGGATGACTCAAATTAAAATGAAATGAGTGTAAGACTGATTTCAGAAGATTAAAGGAAAATATCTGTGACCAATCCTGGAGAGAAATGTCAGCTGGGCGTTTCACCGCGTCATCAAATAGGAGGAGGGTTCATCCGCTTCACCGAGCAAGTCAGGGTGCATAATGTGAGGGCATTTCTGGTTCCATCAGATCCTCTCCCAGTTCAGCCAGTGCCACTTGAACGATGGTAACCTCAAGCCATACTTTTGTCTGTCCAGGACCCTATCAGGACCTGGTGTTCCAACCCAGAGAACGGATCAAGCTTTAGTGAGTTTATGTTTTGTCTCCTGTTTGGTCTTCTGCTCTTTATCATATCTACATCCAGTCTCAGACTAGACAAAGCACTGCAAATTGACAGAAAATTTCAGATTGTTAAATTCCAGCAAAATGTCTCTTTGGTCTATTTGTGTGTCCACCTTGATTCCCAGTGTCAGTTCCCTCTATTCATCCAATTCACATCACTCAAAACACTTCCTTCACATCGCAAAAAAAAATAAAATAAATAAGCACAAAATGTCCTAAAATAGTGAGCATTTCTTAGATCAATTAATAAAAATCATATTTTTCCTACATAAAGGAGATGCTAAGATTTCTGAAAACCCAAAGTTATACTTTCCCAAGATTGAAATCAGTTTAAATATGTTTGCATTTGAATATTGTTGAAAAATTATTTCTTTTCTGTTTTAAAAAACTACTCATTCTGTATGTCTGTCCACTTTCGGTGTAAGTCAGCTAGAATGACATTCCAAGAGGTCGTACAATCACATTATATGATAATGCTGTGATCTGGAGAAGGCAGGGTACTGACCCTTGAGACTTTGGAAGATGCACCATCGAGCCGGGTGTGGCAAACATTTAGAAGTTCTGGGCAATTAAGCTGTTCAGACATCTATGGTCAAGAAAACAAGCCCGACACAAAGAATATGTAGACCTCCTATGCAAGTTGCGCTTATATCAATGATTTTATTAAACATGAATGGAATAAATTCTGGTAATGCTTAAATTTCAGGTTTCTGTTTCAGTTATGTTTTTCTTTTGAGTATTAAGTCTTACTTTACTCCTTGTTTTTAGTGTTTAGTTTTCTTTTCTCCATGTTTTATAGTCCTAGTAATTTAACATTGTGTTATTTCCAGTCTTCCAGGTTTCTATTTGTTGCTCTCTGCTGCCCTCTTGTGTTCTCCTTCTTCCCTAGCTCTTTCCCTCTTGTTCTGTGCACACCTGCTCCCAGTTTCCTCATTAGCCCCTTCTTTGTCTCAGTCTCCTTTAAAAGCCCTCTCTCTTCAGTTCCCCTTTGCTGGGTCCTCGTCAAACACTGCCAAACTTTGTCAAACTTCCTCCAATTCCGTCTTCCTGAGTCTTCCTCGTTTTGACAGTGATTCCCCTTATGTCTCCACGGTTTCTGGTTCGTTATGACTAGTTTTTATGCTTGATTCTTTTGGATTTTTGGACTCCTGATTTGATGCTTGTTCGGACTTCGTTTACATTATTGGATTTTTATGATAACCTGCCTTTGTTTTTAGTTTCCCTTTTTAATTAAATCTAAAGAAATTCACCTCTACCTTCCTGCCTCTGCTTTTGGGTCAACACTCAATAACCAAATCCTGACATTAAAGATGTTTCCCTCCTTTTGTACTGCTTTTTGTAGTCTGAGAAACATTCCTGTTTGAATTTGGACCAGGTGATCAAAATGATCAAACAATTGAAAGTGCAAAACTTTTAAGTTTAAAGACGGTCAAAAGACAAAAAAATATAAAATAAATGTTAAGTGAATTGAATGTGATTGTTAATAATTGGTCTTTGATATCATGAGAAACCTGTGGACTGTCAGACCTGCTGATGCCTTTGTAGACGGAGGCAAAAGCTCCTTCTCCCAGCTTCTCCAGACTCAGGTATGAGTGCGCCGCTCCGAACTCTAGGCCTGCTTTCTGAACACAGAACAAATGCATAATATCGGGCGCTGAAGGACATAATACGGTCATGACATCACAATCTACATGATATAATCTGCTGACCCTGGTGAAGAGTTCCTGCACCGTTCCTGCTCTTAGCGGGTCACTGTTGCTCCGTCCTCTTGGGACCTTAAGCCGTCGGGCCTGTAAGGTGTGGAACCAGTGAGGCTGAGACCCAGATGGGTCAGATTCCACCTAAAGAAGCAGGCAGAGACTGAATTTATGGAACTGGATGAAAATAGGTAACTTTAAAGCCGTATTGGCACTGCACAAAAGTGGGGTGAGATTAAAGAAATACAGAGGAAAGAATCCACCCCAAAAAAACTTTCATATAAACCAGCACATTCCACCTTAAACATCACCTAACAGATTTAGTTCCACCTCAAACCTTACCTGAAAGCTTTGGTTCCCCCTTAAAGGTCATCTAACACCTATCTATTGGCAACCAATATCAGTAGCACCGTTATCAGTATTGATCAGATGCCTAAAAATTGATCAAAGCAGGCCGATCAGATGTTATTTATCACAACAAACCTCCCAGGCATTCATTTCTCAGAGCCAGGTCTCCATCCATTTTTTATTGTAGGATTTAATGTTACTGAGAAAATCTGGTCTTTAGTTTACTAATTGTATCAACTTTTGGGTTCACACCAAACGAAAAACTGCTAAAGTTTTGTCTGCTTTTGCTCGCCTTGAAATATGCCTGGCCAGCAAAAGCAATTCCCATGGCAGGCAATATGCTCCTCTACCTCATCCGGTCTACTGTTTGTTGGTTTCACTGTAACATGGTGGACAGAGATTTACAGAACAGCTAAAGATGCTGTTTTAACTTCTAAAAGCTGATCAAAGCTTTTGAAAAAAATTGAACTCTTCTTAGAGCGATGCTTGAAATGGTGCTTCTTTGCTCCAGCCAAGTGGCCTAACAGCCCGACTTTTACTATGACTTTTTAATGTAAAATGTCTCTTAATGTATGAATATGTATGTAACAAACTCCCTGTAGGTACATAGTTCTGTTCCTAATGTGTGTTGTTCCCCTCTCCCCCTTTCACTGGAAAAAATATGAATAAAAAAAATAGAATAGAAACAATAGAAATTCAAAACCCACCGCTTTAAGCTAAAGAAATACATAATACCTTTGGTTTCCCTTTAAACACCAGCTAGCAGCAATAGTTCTACCTTTCACAACATCCGACTGCCTTGTTTTCTCCTTAAACAGCTTGTGACATCTAAAAAAAAACAAAAAAACATATGCATCTGTCTCCAGAAATTATGTGAGGGCTAAAAATTGCTCTTTGTGAAAACATTTCGAGAAAAGTCTTAGAAAAATAAAATGGAGTTTGTCACCTGGTTCCAGTACTGTTAGAAGGAACTGTTGCTTCTTAGAGCAACTCCAACCAAGCAGTCAACAAAAAGCTCCATATTTGCTACGAGGTTTGTTTCACCCTGTTGCTAGGTGTGATGTTCTCTACAGAAAAACCCCAAATTAAACTGTCAGACAGCATCCAAATGTTTGAGTGTACCGCATCTAAAATATTCGTCATTATTTTAATTTCGTAATGGATATCCTTAACTCCAACCTCGCCTTATTTTTGAGACGAATCAAGGCGCCTTCCACTGCTGTGAGTGTGACTTTATTGTGAGGGACATTTAATAGTTAAGGGTTAATGTTACTCTAACCCTGAGCACTAAGGCTGAACCCCAAACCTGCCTCTAAGCACTAGATTGTATGCGGGGGTATAAATATGAAGGGGGCAGCCTCTTCCCTCTAGCGGAAAGGGAAAGCATTCCTTCGTGATGCTGCATGTTAGTGGCTGTAGATCTGTGGTGCAGGTTAACATCCCGTCAGATATTTGCCATTTTCTTAAAAATAAATCTATCAAGTCAAATAAAACTATTTTAAAGAGGATGTTCCATTTAGGGATTAATGACTACTTGCCCTACCCACTACATGGTTTGGGACAGCACTTAATGTGGCGGACCGTCTGTGGTAATGCACAAACGGAGGGTTAGTTGTAAGAGGCTGGTTTAGGATTCAGCCACTGAAAGTGAGAGGACCTATAGAAGAGTTAGAAATAAGTGGAAAATCTACAACCTCGCTGATTGGATGACGGCACCGTTTGGCTTTTAAACCGGATGTTATTCTACCTTTGCTACTTTTCTGCTAAAAAAGATGTTTAAACTGCAACAAGAATATTTACACTTATACAGTAAAATATGAATTATTCTGACAAACTTAGAAAACAAGTGTTTTCTCTGGCACAGGAAGTGGGGGTAACTTTTTTAACCTTAACCTTAATTTTCAACATTAATTAAATAAAATTCAAATAAAAATATTAGCCATGTACAAGACATCCTCAGTGAGGAAATGGTATGAAAAAATACACAATAAACAAGTAAAATCTATGTGAGAATGAAGGCTAACTGGATCAAAACGGGAGAAGGAAGAAGTTAAAAAATAAAGGCATTTTAGAAAAAAGTATTGACATCTAATAACATGTTTCACTTATTTTTTTATATTTCCATGATCTTGATATAGGAGAATTATCTAAAACTCTTTAAATAAGGTGCGACTTCTTTCCATTTACACCAATAAATATTTGAAAATCAAAAGGACCAACTTAGACTGTCAAAGTAGAGTTTATAAGCTAATTCAAAGTTGGCTATCAACTATTATTATCAATTGGAATAATCAGTTCTTTAGTTTAAACCTTTTTTTTTTAGTTAAACCTTTTTTTTTAAATGGTGGAGAAATTGGCCATTTAATACATTTACAGTGAGTTTTATTGAAGATCACTTACTAACTGTGGTATTTTTTCTATACCATGTCCGTATTTATAATCACTGAATAGAAAGGGTTTTACTGACATATTAATTATTAAACCATACATATAATTATTATGAGTATCTCTATTTCCTTTTGGAAGTTTAGGAAAATGTGATGAATTTAAACACAATGATCTCAATTAGCTAATTGCATTTAAGGGCTGTGATATGGCTTTGAATATTTTATTATACTTTATTATTATTCTGGACATCTAAGGTTATGTTAATTTAATTTGGTTAAATATTTAAAAATAAAAACAGTAACTTTCAATAAATATTTAACAGTTCCTATTCCCTCACTCACCAATCAAAATCACTCCTTATTTAAATGGAGAATCAGCCAATCAGCTCTTTGTTCCCTCTATCTTTGCTGCTTCAGACACTCTTTAAAGGTCATTCTGTTCTAATTTTTGTTCACTTAAGTTCTCTCAAGACCTGAGGGGATTTGTGAAAAAAAAAAACTAAGGTCAAATTCAAGAAAATATGTATGAAATTCTAATATTGTTTCTAAAATGGCATCCTTAAGAAGTACTTATAGGCTGAGGATTCTTTGCAAACATGGGCCCAAATGTTTTTGGATCCAGCCTCAAAGCCACTGGACAGACTTGGTACCACTTTGGATATTTTGAGTCTTTTTAAAGGACAAACAGATTACTTGTTGTTGTCTGCAGACAAAGTTAACAATGACCAAATGGATCCTTGAAGTTAGAAATAAAGACAAATTTTATGAGACAACCGAAACGCTAAAAAAAGATTTAGGAACCATCTGAGTGGAAGTTAAGAAACTTGTTTTTCAAAATTGAATCTGAAAGACTGGATGAGTGAAACCGGTACCCCAGAAGATGGGATGGAAGTCCAGCTCCTGCAGCTCCTTGGACTTTCGCCCTCCTCCTCCTCCTCTGGTCCACCATCCTTTTCCCTCCACTGCTTCACCTCCTTGTCCTCCTCTTCCTCCTCCTCTTCCTCCTCACCACAGCAGCAGCTCCTCAGCCAGCAGATAGCCTCCCTCATACAGCGAGATAATTCCTCCATGTCTTCTTTTCTCTATCCCTGCTTCTTCTTCCTTCTCATGACTCACGTGTTTCAGGAGAAGCAAACAGAGTCCCATGACCCCCCCACCCCTTCATTCCCTGTGAGAATAACAACAGTCTCTATTCAACACTGGTAGACTGCCCTCCCGCGGTCTCTGGCTCAGGTCTGTGTTTTACACTGGTTCTAGTAGCAGCACGATTGACCTTCCAGCTACCCAAATCCAACATATTTAGTTGACTTCATTATATTTGATCTTTAGTTCATGCTGGGCCAAAATAATAATGCATTTTATTTGGAATGTGCCTTTCTGAACCCTGACGGTCACCGTGGAAAAGATGATAAAACACATCAATGTCTGCAGTTACCGCGGAAAACCCATGTATGGAGGCCTTAGTTGACGTCGCCTAATTGGGTTTAAATCCAGCCTGTGGTCCTTTGATGCATGTCTCTCCCCTCCCCCCTTGTACCCACTTTACTATAAAAACCTAAAAAAAACAAAAAACAGCAATGTCAAAAAAAAGAAAAAGGAAAAAAAAAAGAATAAGGACTGTTTTAAAAGATACAAAAGCAAGGACAGAAAAGTTAAAAAAACAAACCACTGGACTTCATTTTGCAAGTTTGAAGACTTTTCACTTTCCATCCAGGAAGCTTTTTCAATTCGAACAATAAGTCCTAACGACATCCATTTAAGAGGCATAGGCCAGTTCAATTTGCATTTTTTCTAATCCACAAAGTGGATTGTTTTTTAACTTTTAACTGAGAATCTTCACCAGCAAGCTGGGACAGGGAAATTGACATCAAAGGGAATAGGCAGTCTTGGGCCCCGTCCACACGAAGTCAAAACGAACGCGAAACGCTAATATTTTTTAGAACGTTTGTCTTACAGACGGAGACGTAAAATAAATGTGATCGACCACATGAATGCATGAAAACGCTGCAAAATGTATGCCAGGCCTGTAAGTGGCGCTGTGGTGCCAAAGCAAAAATAGG